CGATACGTTCGCGATGACGCGGAAGGACGAGGAGCTTCTGGTTGGTTCGATTCTTCAGAAGATTGTTGTACCGCACCCTGCGATTTCGAATTTGGAAGCTATCGAGGTAATCAATAGATCGACGTAAGTATTCTCCGTTTATAAGTATTAGGACACTTCTGTCGGTTTTGCGTAGAATCTAACTGGATCGTTAAGGAAGGAATCAATCAGTTAGAGTTTGGTGTTTCTACGAAGTGACGATTCGAAATTATTTGCGAGATTTGTAAAGAAAAATCACGAATCGACGAATTCAGTGTTGGTATCGAAGTTAAAATTTGGCGAAAATTGTTGTCAAAATTGGTTCCTGTGCGATTCGTCGATTTAACAAAAGTTAGTAGATGAAATATAATAAGTGGAATATCTAATATAAACGTCATCGTAATACCAAGAATACAAACTTTAATAATCTTCCAACGATTTGTCAAATTCATCCTGTTTTTCTCTAACTGTCCCGATACTTACGAGCAGAGACGTATATGCATACAAAAGTCTAATAAAAAACCTTATTTATTCTGTTGCAAACATTACAGATCAAGTACACGGCGTACAGCGGCTGGATCTCTTCAGGTTTGGTGTCCTGGAGCATCGACAAAGTAGCCATCATCGACAGCTTTGGGAAGATTCTCTCCGTCTGTAAAAAGAGTCTGAGCTTAGAATCTGGGAAACCCGTTCTACTTCCTCTCTTCGCAGGCGAATGCAACGTTCCTCTGGAATCGGATAACTCAACGTCCTCGGCATTAGAACGTCTGCTGCAAGAGAAACCAGGTGGTATCGGGCCATTTACCAAAGAACAGAATTACGAGGCGAAAGATAATATCCCGATAGAGACGTTCTCGAAAGAGAGAATCGCGTCGTTGTCCTCGTCGAAAGGTTTGGGTCCGTTTACCAAGGAGCGAAATGTGCGCATAATCGAGAGGAAAGAAAGTTTCAAGACGAACAGCTTCGAGGAAACGGGCAATCGTGGCAGTAGCTCGAACCCTTGGAACATCGTCGACATATCCAGCGATGGAGATTCGAATTCTTTGGAAAATTCCGAGACTGAGAAAGGCAGAGGATTCTCTGGTTCCAATTTGTTCGCTGAAAGTCCTTCTCCGAATCCTTCCGTGGAACCAACGACCGAGTTCCTTCCAGAAATACGGGAACCTGTACTGCAAATCGATAAGAAGGAAACAGGAAGGTCTTTGAAGTTTCCAGAAATCACAGAGCCGATCTTGAGGCCACGCTCGGCGAGACAGAACACCAGAAATGAGATTCACAGTCGTGAAAAGCAGAAAGAAGAGATACAGGAGACTTCCTCGACGTCTAGAGCTTTTACGGTACAATTCTTGCCAGAAAGGTTGGCTGGGATCCTGGCGCAAGCTGAAAGGTACGCTAGGCAAACCCTTCTTCCTCTGATTTCGCAGTACACGCCCAGTTTCGTAACTGGATCGCGATATGAGGAGCCTAAATACTTTCCACCCTTGGGGGAGATCGCTTCGGAGGATCAAGGGCCCAATGAACCGGAGTTGACTACGAGTAACTACCAACAGGACTTTGAACGACGGAACCGAGATGATCGAATCGTTAACACCGAGTCTGCCTTAAGAGAGGGAAGAACGATGAATTCTTCCAACACTACGTCGATGGAAACACCTGCGATTATCGAGGCAAGTTATCAGGAAAAGGAGATAAATTCAACGAGAACCGATGAAAGCAACGAATGGATACCCATAGAACATTCTACCGTTTCAAACGCCTTATCTAGACAAGACTTCAACGTGTCCAGGTCTCTGAATTGGGAACACGAAAAGTACAATTGGTCCACACAAACGTCAGAGAGTAGTACGTCAAAAGTGGACGATTGGGTACCTATTACGATTAAAAGCGAAATTGAAATTCCCGAAGCTACGAATAACGTCTCTAACGAGATTAACTTGTCTCGCGTGGCCACTGACAAGCAGAACAAGGCTGTTCGAGCGGAAGCTGTGACGATAAAGGACTCTGGAAATAATTCAGACGAGGCTGTTGCCTCTGGGAAGGACGAGAGAAAGTATATTCCTCTGATCGATCCGAACGCGAAAGAATTATCGTCGACGAGCGTGAATGATATCTTAGACGTTGGTCCGAGCTCTTCGAGTACGAGCTCTACGTACTCGCCGCACTCTCACATTCAGAAAATCCCCAGACCGATAGAAACGAGAAGTAGCAAACCTGGTTTGACGAGGAGGAGCATGGTCTTTCCTTACGCGTACGAGAAGAAGAAGGATCCTAGGACCAGGTACATACCTTTGATACCAGAGGAAGACTTTGGAAGGCCATACTTCTCGGTCGATAGAGAACGCTGAAGAAATCAAGCGGCGAAAATTGTTTGGAACAAGATTTATGGAATCATCGTTCGTGATATGTTTCCACTCTTACAAATGTCCAATTTCTTATTGGCTTTTCCTATTGTTCGTAGTTGTTGGTGATCAGTTGTTAACGTTTTCGTGGAATTTGTGTTTCGAGTTACTGATACTATGGGACGTGATAACATCGGTCAGTAAAAATCGATGGCTTTATAAAGCACGCTTTAAAGATGTTTTTGGTAAAAATTGGAGCCTTAACTTTATTTTGTATATAGGAATTTTTTTACAATATATATAATATAATATATATATATATATATATAGCTTCGCTGAAATCTGTTCTTTTTTTTCACATCGTTACCGTTAACTAATTCTTAGTTATTAGAATTATTATCATCGTCATCTGTGTTTCCCCCATTTATTTTATTTATGTCGAACGGACGATCATAAGAGCGAAAAATCCCACTTTGTATATGATGACCCAATCTTGGAAATCGCAAAACGAATCGCTGAAATAGCATTATATTTCTTTCTTCTTTTTCTCTCTCTTTCGTAATAATATGTACAGCTGGTGTCTATGCGATCCACCTTCGTGGCGGTTCACGCGAACGGTAGTCAAAAGTATGGAAGAGATGATTTAAATGGACTTCTATGTGTATCTATAATATATCTGTTTTTACTTAAAATAAATAACCCTCTTTAAGAAGAAAAATGCGCCTCTCGGTCTTGCAAGTACTCGTGTACTCTGTTACACTTTCACAGCATCGTTTTTCTCTCTTTTTCTCTCACACACGCACGCAGACAGAATGCTCTACCTTTTTTTTCGCTTCTGTTCATCTAATGTTCATCAAAATTCATGTAATTCTTCTCTTCTCCTCGACGATCGTCTTCCGCCAGCAACCAACTCTCTCAGGATATGCCCACTCCTGATATGTCCGCGACTATTAAAAATAACCCATTCGCAGTCCTTGCTTCAATGTTTCTTCAGGTACCGATTGACGCGTCAAAACAGAACGCATCGTTCTATGATAATCGACTCGATACAAAAATAACAGGTACGTGAGAGTTTCGTTTCGATAGCTGGGAAGACTACAGTTAAAATGACTCGTTCGTCGATCATCGATACACTCGAAAACAAAAGCTTCGTGAAAAAGTTCTACGTTATTTTCGTATCGACTCGATGGGACGAAACAAAAAAATCTTGGCTTCTGGTCGACAGTGCATTCCGTTAGGCAAGGAAGAAGGGACTGCGAATTATCGACAACTTACTACTTACATACATATTTAACAAACACGCAGTCTTATCAAGTAGAACCCGTGAACGAACTCTGACAAGTAAAAAGGTATAGTTGCCTATTATTCTAGTAGAAATTTGGTTCGACTCGTCCCGCAACCAGGGCGACGAAACGATTTACACGCTGACGCGCGCTATAGTACCTACCCAAATCATCCTCTGTTACCCACATACAGTACTCTCAAGCATATAAAAAAGAAATTCGTAGAGAACGAACCAGACTTGTAATCGTGATACGATACCAGGTTGAAGATAACTTAAAACGACCAAGCCGATTGACTCGCGATATAAAGGAAATTGTTTAAAAAAAAAGTCTGATATTATGGAAAAGAATTCGGTGTTCGTCAAAAGTCTTATAAGGATACTGTACCTGCGTAAAAAGAGCGCAACTAAAAACTAATATGCTCCGCGTGCCATCTCGAATTCGTCTCCTTGTCCCACTAAGCTCCGAGTCAACAAATTCTAATTATACAACTAAGTATTTTACCGTATAACACGAGACACGATTTCGAGGCAGCCAAGGAGCACGTACGATTTCTTACGCTTCTAAATATTCACATGCATTCGTCCATTCGATAGATCGTCATTCACATTCTGAATTCCATGTGTGTCCTTCGGCAAACATTCAATGAAACGTCATTCCCAATGGTTCGTTACGTTCGTTTCGCTTTACGTACGCTCTACGTTTTATCAACGACTACCGATGTATCGTATCTTCGAACAGGTCGTGTTTTATCCGCCTGTGTTCTGTTTGTTCGCTTTCCTTGGAACACTTAAGTAATTAGCGCTACGACATACAAAAGATAAGGCCGCCGACGATAATACACTGACTAGATCAGTTTCATTTGCTCTCTTTCTCTCACTCTCTCTCTCGCGCATGCTTTCTCTCCCTCCCTCTCTTTCACAGTGTGTGTGGTGGACCATCGTCCCATTTCTTTTATATCAACAAAAATATTCAGGACACGGTATCTCTGTCAACAAAATATACTATGTGTCTCGTTTCGCATCCTGAGTACTAATCTACGACGCGCAACGATCGAACACCACGTCGTGGCGTCGCGCGTCGGGGAAGTATTCTTTACTCGATCAAAAATGTAATTAAAAACTCGTATAAGCACAGCGTAGGCCCTGACGAATTCTTCTACCTCACCAACTAACACGATACTGTACAAAAAAGAAGACGGCAATACGGCAAAAAATAACGGCACAGGTACGAATGATGATTACAAGAAAAGAAAAATATAAATTATACCAACAATATACACTTTACTTTACACGTAAAAACCTGATGTTAAAAGCTCTTAAAATTAAAGTAGTTTCGTTTATTTTGTTTTCAATGTTGCAATTCATATAGGAAAATATACCGCCTTCTATCGTACATTGCCGTAGTTCTCGCTGCTTATCCCGACATCCTGGTATTTAATGTAAGAGTGTAACGCTGCTAAACGATGTCCACATCGATATCGGCGAGAAAAGAAACGTGTGCAAACACGAATCAAGTAACAGGAGACGATTGGTTGGGATTAGTAATGCGTTAAAAACCCGTTTTCAACATAGAAATGAATACGATCGGTTCATTCACATTTCGATTTTGTATGATCGTCGTTAATTGATAAAAAATCAGTTGTCGTGGATAAGGACGGAGGTGGCTAACTAGGAACTGCGAGGCACTGCAAAAGGTAAGAACATGAGCAGCGTTTCTACTGGCATTGGATTGCCGCAGTCTCAAAATGAAACGTGTATTGCTTCTTTCAATCCTCTGAACCGTTAACTTCTTCGTCTGCTTCTACTAAATTGCATGTCCGAGGAAAATAGGCTGATGGTGTTTGAAAATTCCTAAGTATTCCGAACTACAAACGCAAGAAACGTTTCATTTTCATGCAAAATACTATTGACATATCCTGTGGCATGTGTAAAGTGAAAGAACCTTCTTTTAAAATTTACCAGCTATTGTATCGAGTATAAAGTTTTTCTTTTTTTTTTTTTTTAAAGTGCACTAACGCGGTGAGAAATATGTAACGATCGTCGCACGCGGAAGAGGAAACTCGCGCCGACAGCTTCAAACATAGCGTATTACGGGTCAATAATGTATGTAGATTATCAAAAAACATCACAGTCGGGTTACTAGATTTTAGAGAAGTGTCCGCTGAACTCCCACTTGACTATATTTTCATTGAACTCGAACCAGATATTCGAATCTGGTTAATACTGACCCTGTTCCAACCTTAACCACTTCGATCGCAAAAGTCCAATAAAGATATAATCGTTCTTCGATCTTTCTAGCTCTTCTTTCGCGCGCGACTAGGTCGTTCGACCCTACTTTCCTCCGATCGCTACTCTTTTCCAATATTTTTGTCGCATCGACATAGCCATCGCTGTTCCACGTGGAACAAATCGGGTCGAAGCGTTTCTCTGTGTAGGCGCTTTCACGCGGTCCAGAAACATCGGTAAAAAAACCAAGAAACCCTAAGGAACGAACAGTACGACGTGCGAGTGATGTGTATCACTTTTTGTCAAACAAGGGCAATTTGCTGCGCACCGCACCCTCGCAAACGACTAACCTCTGCGCGGCTGAGATACTGCATAATGGAACGGGACCCTCTAAGTTTGCTTTCAAGAACGTTAACCTACTAGAACTGGCATCGTGATCGGCAAGTCGCAAGCTACCCGCTTGCTTCCTCTCGAAGTACTCGACGATCTTGGAAATAGTTTTACTGGAAGACCCGATACCGCTTAATCTATCCTCCCAACAGGAGTCGCCACCTCCTAAGCTCGCTATATCTTCGGACGAGTCGGTGTAGATCGAGCTGGTTCGATGGTCGTCCAATAAAAACAAGCTGCTTGCCGCGGAGCTGCTCAAGGTGGAGGTGTGTCGACGATTGGGTGGCTCCGGGCTGAGATCTTCGCCGACGCAGCTCCAAAAACCCGACTCGCAGCTACCTCGCCTTCTTGGCTCCCATCCGTCTCGGAAAAGCGGATGAGTGAACAAGCTGGCAGCGCCCGCCTTTGTAGCCACCTGAAAACCGGATTATCGTTTAATCTCTAATTAACTCCACCGAAACGCAATCTCTACCTGGCTAATTACTTTGATCGCCTAGACACCTCTAATTACCACGTTGCTATTTAGCGCTTGAATTTCGCCTATACGGTCGTTAAATCGCGCAAAAGAGTCAACTTAACTGTCCCTACCTTTCTCTCCCATTTCTTCCTGGCGGTCGGACTGCTCGGTTCCGAGTTTGGTTTCTTTCTGTCCAAGATCTTCGCGATACTGTCGTTCTGCGCGGGCTTGAACTTGGCGATAGCATCTGTGACGCTTGGCCTGACATCCTCCAGAGACGGAAGCTCCAAGCAGCTGGAGAACAAATTGCCAAGGATTTTCTTCACGCCACCCAACGCGTGGAACGGATTCGCCGTCATAGGCCTGTAATGCGGGTCCCTCCTGCTAGCCAGTTCCGCTACCCTTCTCACGGAATGACACCTAGCCTTGTCGGAGGGCGTTGCGTTGTCGCAGCCTCTCGCGTCCGCCGATTGACTCCGCAGACGAGCGGTCTTGCGCTTCGTCGGTCGTCCTTCTCGAGTGATCTCGTCCATGCTGGACATGAGAGCAGGATCCACGGACTGACGTTTACCGATATTGTTCTTCGATTCCTCCTCGTAGTTGCTGATCATAGTGTCCAGGCTGCAGGTAATCTCGTGGAAGGTCGGTCTCGATTTTGGCTCGTACTGAAACCACAGCGACGCACGCGACCGTGAAATGTTTGCAGACTAAGAATATACATTTCGAGCGGTACGAGCGGAGTGACATCGGATATTTTGCAACGAGCGTAAAATGCTATTACCAACTGTATTACCAACGTACATACCGACGATCTTTAACGAATACGATAAGTTGGATGAAGCAATTTAAGAAAATAACGCGGAGAATCGAACGGCTCGATCTGTCAGAGAGTCGAAACAAAATCTGGACGAAAAAGGTACGCGAGCGTCGGAAATTCCAGGCAAGTAATATTCTACTCACGGTGCAACAATTGAAGGCAAGCTGCAGAAAGGCTGGCGGCGGATCAGCTGCCGCGCAGATCTCTGCCACGGCCAGGTAATCGAGGCCAAAGTTATCTGACCGTGGTAGAACGTCCGGATCGGCCGGCACGCGGCCGATCAGCTCGCAGACCACTATACCGAACGAGAAAACGTCCGACCTGTGATCGTACCATTGACCCTTGAGACATTCCGGTGACATCCAATAGGGACTGCCTACGGTGCTCAGCCTGTATCCGGAACTGGGATCCGGGATCTTCGCTGCCAGCCCAAAATCGCCCACCACGGCGGTCATTTCCGACGTACTTTCGTCCTTCTTGATCAGCACGTTTTTCGACGTGAGATCCCGATGAAAGACCCCGCGACTGTGAAGGTAGGTCATGCCCCGTGCCACGTCTCTCGCCAGATTCATCCTGATCGGATGGGGTAGAGGCGTGTGCCTCGACATGATCAACTGTTCCAAGCTACCGCCGTTTATGTACTCTGTGAGGGCGTGCAGTTGACCCTCGTGTACACAGACTCCCATGAACCTGCAATGTACGAATCATAGATCGTCGAAAACAGCGAGAACGAAGATGGGAAAGAGCTAGCGGGAGAGCTAGCGTTTCTCAGGCTCTAGGTTTTATTCAATTCGCTCTCTATGCCCCGGGCACCGCGCATACTATTTTCCTAGCTGCATAATTATCAACGTTGTCGCGCTATTATTATAATTATCGTACGCGAGATTGGTTCGTGGCAAAATGTTTCTCGGTTTTCCTCTATTCTCTATTTACGAGACTTATTACGAAGATAGCGCGTGTAATGGAGGGAAGGGCACTCGCTTCAAATCCACGTTGAAACGTACTTTAAAATCTACCGCCTCGCGACTGATTCCGCTCTCATTCGTCCTAATGGCAAGTCAAGTGTAAATGTCGGAGCTGAGTTTTTCGGAGCCGAGTTTCGCTACGTTTTCTCTGTCCTTACGCGGAAAGGCCAAAGAACGAAAGGCGGCGAGGTGAATTTTTCTTGTGTTCAGAGAACGAGGTTTAATTACCAAGCGAGTCGCGGACGCGGCGCGGCTCTCTTTATCAATCCGCGCACGAAGCGCGAAGTCGTTTCGCTCGTTACTCATCTTTCCCTATAAAGATCGCGACCTTCGTGTATCGGGCGAGGACAACGCAGGACGAAGGTCTACGACCCAGATGTGCACGCGACTATCATCGAACGATCGACGAAACGCTCTGAATAAAACGCGTCGACGCGAAACCCGCTGACGAGCAGAGAGAAACGATCGTTTCTCGTGATAAACGACACCGAAATATGGGCACCGCGATCTGTGGTGTTTTTATGGTAGCTCGAGTCGAATGGGACGCTGCGATATGAAAAAAGACACGAAAATGGAAACTTGCGCATATCACCCGACGGGTTTTTTTCAAAGTATACAAATATTCGAGTACGCTTTTCTATATCCCTTGGTATTTCGTTTGCGATAGAATCGACTGACACACGTTTACAGCCTCGTTAAGTTCATTAACATCATCTGTCTAATGTGCACCTCGCCGGTAGTTTGTTTACTGTGTCCGAAGTCGCAATTTGTAACTAACAGTAAAGCAAAACTAAGGAAGAACGAAGTACGCAACCAGTGTCTATAATTAACCAGAGATAATCACATTGCTCGAATAATCGTGGTTACACAAATAATTTATCGTACGTGGTCATCTTATTTTAGATAGATCCGGAGTATCGTGCGAATGAATTCACGATTTTATTCAGCCGCACATACGTCGTTTAAAAATTCCAGTACAGTTTAATGTTATTGCTTGTTGTTAATAATCTTTCGGTATCTTCGTACAAATCGTCTCGAGGATCAGGACGAAGGAAAGATCGAGATGTTTTGAAAAAAAGGTTCTACGTTACCAATGCTTGTAAATCAACGACATAATCTCGCAATTTAGTATAATATCTAAAGCGAATTATTTGATAAGTTTCACGTGGGTACCTCTAATTATCAGCTTTTTCAAAAAAATACGTAAAACTTTTCGACGAATTATATCATCGCAGTCGATGTTTTCGCGTTTGCGAAGGAACGTAAGGCGATTAGGGAGTATCGATTTGACACTTGGCACGATAGTCTATCACCACCCAACGAACGTCGGAGTTTCCTCTTTTGCCTCGAAACGTGGTCAAACGCAAAGCGAGATTTGCTTGATTTTCCGCTTCGGTCGTGGAACCGGATAATTCAAATCGATCAAGAAAGGGGAGAAGCTTTTCCGCATTAGACGAGAAAGCGTTTCCTAAAACGCGCTTACTTCCCATTATCTTTAATTGGCTTTATCAAATATATGCCGTTCGATCTCACCATTACAACTATAGTTTCTGTCGGGTGCACGCGTGCGTCGATTTCCATGAATATTCTATGAACTGCGATTCCTTTTTTAACCCTTGTACATTCATTTATAAATTTCCTCGAAATATCGCAAAGCTGCTGCACACGTTTCTACGTGGATCCATGTCTTAAGGATAAAGAACAGTGCGAATACGTGCGAATGGGAGTACGCGGTGTGTCCAAACGGTAATGAAATAGATTTCGATGCTATTCGAGACGTAATATCTCTATTCTGCCTTCGATATTAATTTCAAACTCGATTCAGCTGACACGAGCGATTTCGCAACTTGTTTTAGTAACGCGTTACGGAAATGGAACAGCGACATATCGAGCAGTGCCTTGCTTCGCACTCTCTGTAAACCAAAACTTTGGTCGACGAACATATCTTTGTGGTTCTACAGCATCCACGACCTTCGGACACGAGTCCATACAACTTTTTTTCTCAAAAATTAAAAGCCATCTCGAAGGACATAGTTTTAAGGAATCGTGGACAACGTGCAAAAGGTTGTAATCGACAAACCGAAAGTAGTTTCGATAGAAAAATTCCAGCGCTGTTTCCAGGAATAGGAGTACCGCCTTCGCCGGTATATACCTTCTCGAGAGAACAATTTTCAAGAGGATAATGTACATTTTTCGTTACACGACATAAACATTTTGACAGGGCCAGTCTCGTTACTTTTTAAACACACCTCGTAGTCAACATTAGCGTGGAATTGTATCGTAACTGGAAGTAATCTTTTTGTCCAAATAATTTGGAACCATATTATATTATAAAACATTTGTTACATCGTAGAAAGGAAAAGTGCAAAGTTCTGAGAATGTATGAAAGTAAAATTATCGCTACGTGTTTGATCTATCGAAATAGAACGCGTTGCTCATCAACCGTGACCATTTTGGTTGCCTACACACAAGGGTTAAACCAGTGAAAACCTGATACTATTACGAACAATCTAGAACTTCCTCCTTGCTCGATACGTCATTCCGTGGGTTTTACTGGTCCGATAGAAAGAATATTCGAAATGCGGCCTACCCGTCGATACATCGCACGTGTCTTCGGCAGAGGCGAATTACCGCGAGCTTTGTACGTCCGATTTAACGACAAGTCCGCGATAGAGCGATAGTAATCGACGCAATAGGAAAAGCAGGCTCGTCGCGTTCGACTCGACGATTCTTGCCACAGATTAGATTACTCCGTAGGTGGCGGCGAATTGAACAAGTCAGAGTCGAGGTTCGTTAGGTCGATGCATCGCATCGAAATGTCATAAGCTTAACGAGCGTAGGTAAACGTCGTGATAAACGCCAATTACCGATCGATAATCCGTTCCATTGACACGACGTTATCTCGCGATGAGACTAGGATCCTTGTAATTCGTGTGCGTGAACCGAGCAGTATCTGGAAACGGCGAGAAACTCGCGATCCTTATCGAGATACAGTTTGTAGCTCGATAAGGATACCGGTCGATTTGTAAACATCGTTACATCCAAGTAAATACATTACCAAGTATTAGTTTGGAAAGTTTCCAACGTATGGGTTTAGGATAAACTACTGTTCCTGGTTCGGGAAAGAAATCGTAATTGACTAATTAGCAAGGTTTCGACGAAAGATTTTTAGATAGCTGGATTCGCTCCAATCGAGTATAGCGCGGTATCGCGATCATTTACGTCGAAAATTGTACAGTTCCAAGACTTAAAAGGTGAACTGTTATGCCGTAACGACGATAGTTGATCAACTGTGATACCTGGTTGATCGTGTACGAGAAAAAAGAAAGACAAACTGGTCGGGTTGCTTCTGTCTTCGCTTCGACGTTTCGATTCGATCTTCGATTCAAAGTTCTGATTTTTGGGCGAATACGCGGTATATCGTATCGAGCTATAAAAATCGGCGGCACGTTGTTGTTGCGGCCTATATCAAGTTTATCGCAACAATGATCGGACGTTGACAATCGGAACCGTATCTTTGTATCTGTGTGCGACCTCGCGCGTGCGAACCACGATAAATTACCGGTCAATTTGCTTCTACCACCGGTTATCGCAATATCCCCGATAGAATGATCGAAACTCCGCAGCATGTGCGACTATCGACGCGATTCCATTCGCACGCACGCTCGCTCGCTCGCAAATCACGTCACGTCGATGGTGTCACTGGGCAGCATGATTTTTCGCTTCATGGCCAGCTTCGTGCTACTATCGATCATGTCTACGACCACGGCAGTGCTCTTGTTCTTCGGCGAAACTACTCGGATACACGCCGATACGTCTTAATGCTCCGATAAGATTACACGAAATTCTTACAAATATTATCGCACTAATATTGTTCATAGTATCGATGTACACAATACCGGATATTATCGTAAGAAACGTATTAAGAGTAATGCTTAGCAACAGGATTACGAATGGAAAAAACGCTTAGAATGTTTCGTGTCTTTTTTTCCTTTTAATTGTTATTTACGATTTCTATTCTTGTTTGTAAGGAAATTGTCAATGAAAATGACTAAGAATCATAGGAACGCGAAGGTCTTTGTTCGGATCTTACGGATTAAGTTCTATAACAATTGGCTAAAAATCAATAATGGCGTAAATAACAAATTTTAAATACAGTTAAACTTTTAACAGTATCGTTCCTTTACTTTCACGACTAAACAACGTAAGTTAATAGTAAAAGGTTGTTACAGACACATTTTTTAACGATCTTGATATAACTTTAAACTGACTTTTCAACGGAAATATCAAGAAGAATAATATATATGAGTGTGGGACAAAAATGTTGGGAACATGTACTGAAATTTGGACCAGGAATTGTCCGCAGCGTTTCGAGAAGCAAAGTTTTGGACCGGCTCGGACAAGCTAGTTATTCACGAGCACGTTTCTGGCAGTTGACGCGGAATATTCGAAGAAACGACCGATCGATTGACGCGAGTGTGGCGTTAGTAGTAAATCTTGGTCTCGCTCTTAACAAAACCAAACACACGGTATGTACGTATATCGTACGTATCTCGAGATTATCGACCGATTTCATTCATCCATATTCCTTGAAACGAAATGTGTACACCTGGCGCGTCGTATCGTTCCAAGAATTACGAAATTCACGCATCGGAGATTATTCTCCGTCCCTTCTCTTTTTCCATCGAGCTGGCTCGCTCTCGATGAAAAGACACGATGCCGACGATGTTCCTCGCGGTTTTCGCAGCCTTCAACGAGAGAAATGCCAGAAATAAGATCCACTAGCCACGCGGGATAAACACACACAGCCGAATCTGGGCCAAGCCGTTTATATCGTTGGAATGCGTTGTCGCCGCGGATGCGGCGCGTCTAGCCGCGCGGCGCGGTGCGGCGCAGAGTAGCGCGGAACAGCGATACCCGCTGCCATTATGTCATAACTCGTAACTTGCAAACCGCGAAACTCTTTTAACATTAGCTCCGCAGTCAGCCGGTTGCGTCAACCAGCAACGATCCATTTCGAAGGGACGTTGCTTGTTCGCGTGGCAACCGACTGCTTTACGAGATGAAATCCTACGAAGAAGATAAACAAATATGCACCGTCTTCGTTATTTTACCGGAAAGATTTTAGCCGAGATCTTAGTCGATATTTTGCCCGAGTTTCTCTATTCAGACGTCTGAACGTTGAATTTTGCTGATAATAGAATGAACGTATACAAGGTATAGAAATGGAGTAGGTATTCGGTCGTCGCTCGTACTCGAGACCGCTGCAACTTCGTTGCAATTACGTATTCCGAGGGAGAGTGATTGGAAACTTGGAAGCGCGACAGTGAAACTAGCATCGTCGATATGCGAGACTTAAATTACCAGTTGCTTATTTCTTTCCACAATCGAGATCCAATCGTCACGTAGGAGAATAAAAAATTAGTCCGTTTCGAGATTTCTCCGGTTTTAAACGATATTCCTTCGACCGAGCTCCAGTTGAGACATCGATACGCTATTTTCTCTCCACGCCGCCTATGTGTACGTAGTATCTGTTCGAAAATAAATTCGAACCGACCGATAGAAGAAAAAAACGTGGTCGCCTTAATTGCTTCGACCAACGAATATGCCGGACGTTTCCATTTCGACGTTCTATCCAACTAGTTTCTATTTCCATCGCGATTCGCGCGACAACTCGCCCCGTTTTAATTTAAAACTACCGGCGAAGAAAGCGAACGACACGCGTGACTTGCCGCGCGTCGGATGGACCGTTTCTCGCGCTTATTCCTTAATTAATCGTTCGCTGACTGGTTTCTCGAGCGAGGACAGAGAAAATTCGGCGCGAAGCGAGGGGGCTGATTTTCTTCGTTATGGTCAGCCGAGTTTCTCCAGCGCAAAAGCGAACCGGACTTCGATTCGACTTACCTGAGTATGTTCGGATGGCTGAGTTTGTTCATCAGTTGAACTTCTTTCAGCATGTTTGGCCTATTCGCAGGCAGCTGGTTCATCTTCAGGACCATCACCTGACTCGTCACTTTGTGGGTAACCTGGAAACCGGGTACACAGATGTTGAACACAATTTTCTACGCCGTCGTGAAACGCTATGCGTCATATCGTCGAACCCTTGAGCCGTTTAAGCGTTTTCTCGTGTATCTAGCGGTTACTCGTAACGTTATGAAACGTGACATTTATCGTTACTGGAAGTGCTCAAAGTACGCAAACAGTTAGATCGAAACTGTAAAGTTATGGATGCGGTGAATGCTTGTATCGGCGAATAACACGTTCGGAGATCGACATGCATATACTTGCGATATTGGGTCAGTGCAAAAGTTCGCGGCCGATTCCAATAGACGTTATTAAACTACTCGCAAGTCCGCTAACATCCGTTGTCGTATGTGCAAACTTTCTAGCGGATGAAAATGGCGATGTTCGATTTTGTATTTTGTATTTTGGCAGTTTATATATCTTGAAAAAAGAGTTTTTGAAAATGAACGGAGAAAAGATGTAACTGTAAAAACACATTCGGGACGTTTACCAAGATCGTGCACCAGCTCTCGGTGTAATAAAAAAGTGGCTTGCATAATCCAGACGTAGCGCTTAATTTATTGCAAAATAATCCACGAATTTTAACCGACGAAGTCGTAGAGAAACTTTTCTATTACAGGAAGAACTGGTGCACGGTCTTGGTAAACGTCCTGAATGTTTTTTACAGGAATTCCCACCGTTACACCTTTCCGGGATTCGTAGAGCATGACACGAAGCAAATGAATCTTTCCCTCGCTCATTTTTCAAATCTTTTTTTTTTTACAAAGCAAAAACTGTCAGGGCATAAAAGTTGCTGTTGAAATAACGATTGAAAATGACTCTTTTTATCCGCTATGAAGTTTGCACATGCAATAACAGATGTTAGCCAGACTCGCGAATAATTTTCTGACATCTATATATCGTCGTAATAAGTCGCCACGCTCTTCGTGCTCTATAGAGAGACAATCTTAGGGTTGAACGTGTAATTTCAACGAATTTTATATTATCGATTTCTCTCTTGTTGTTTCATCTTGCCACCGAATATGCGTGCCATATATCTCTGTTGTTTCATTCGACGTAACTAACTTCAAAGATATTGATCGCCGTAACGCTATTGGTTTGTTACGAAATTTCGTAGATTTATAAATCTTCAAAAAATCTTCCTAAAAGCTTCCTAAAATTTTTGGACGTAACAAGTCCGCTTCGCAACTATGCAAACGGATTGTAATACATGCTGCTTTTTAGCCGTCGTATCGAAATTAGAAAATCGACAAATGCCAATGTCTTATGTTTCTTGCGTGTGGTTCTCGAGCATTTGATCGTCAGACTTATCGGTGAGAACACGCATCTGCCATAAACACAGTCTAATCCGAGTCAGTTCCGAGAGAGAAATACGACTTTGGACGAATAGTTCTCGATCGTATCGCGATAGGTCGCTGATGCTTTGGAATGCCTGCATTGCGTAAAGGTAATTTTAGAAAGCCGAGTGTCCAACTAGAGGAAGAAGAAACCGAGGTAAGTACGGATCGTACGAGTGTGAAACGAGGGCTTCGTTCGGTCGAGTTAACCGATAGCTCGGCTAATTCGTAGCTCTGTTAATAGGGATGTTGTTATTCGCCAAGTTTTCGCGGTGGATCGAAGCTCGCAACGAGACTTTCTCGTACCTGGATCGTTCCGTGCGTTTCCACCGCGGGCAAGAAAATTATCTCGATGCATATTACACTGTAATTAAGCGTTCCCGCGAACGACGAGGTGCGATATTAAGTGCGGTGTTCGCCGTTCCCAATCGTATAACGATATCTGTGTGTACCGCGTTTTCACAGCTCGAGGAGCGCGTGAGAGAACGTCAGGCTGATTCTCACGAGGCAGAAACGTATTAATGAGACGCGACGTAGCAGCGTACAACAGCTTCTACAACCACGGAGAATCCAACTACACGGATATACGCTGTGAATCGCGTACGAGGATCGATCACCGTGCAAGGATGCCTTCAGTGATACCATTTGAATATATTTATCGGTTTGTTCGATCATTCGCTCGTTCATTCATAGATGCAAACACGTTGCGTTACTACGAGAATACGATATACCAAAGAAGCGGCTATGCATGCATAATAAACGGAGAGTAGAAGAATTTAAAAGCAAAAGTGTATCCGAAGTGTATCTTTGAACGATGGAAAACAGCTACTTCTACGACTGATCTTAATTAGGATGAGATGCCACTTTTCGAGATATCAATCGCGAGGAACGCGCAACAGCATCTCGCGTCTTTAAACTCTGTCGAGAGAACGGGAAAAACAGGAAGAGAGTGAGAAAGGGTAAGAGGATTTAATCTCTCTTTCGCTGCAAATAAACGGGTCAACAGTGAGAGGCAGTCGTGGTATCAGTGTCAAAACGACTCCGTGGAGATTATAATCGCGACGGTACCGCGTCGGAATGTCGTTACAACGACGGCGTCACCGTGGAAGCCTGGAATCTTTGAATCGGCTCGAGGGGCGGAACGCGCGACGCG